CAGGGTAGTGCTGCCCTGTTTCAGAGAAGAGTACAGCCCCTATTCTGACACCTTTCATGTTAGCAGCTCCATCAAAGAAGAGTTTCCAACCTGGCTTTTCATCATGGTCCACCTCGTCAACATGCATCACTTCCTCATCCATCAAGATTTGGTGATATCCCGCGTAACAATCCACAAAAGACCCAGTCTCATGCTTGGCACAATTATCGATCAGAATGTGAATGTTCGGCAATGGAAAATCATCCTTTGGGCTTGCTTTGTTAAGATCACGGTAATCAACACATACCCTGGTCTTACCATCCTTCTTTGGTACTGGCACAACGTTAGCTAACCAAGTGGGATATCGAGTTACCCGAATGACCTTTGCACCAAGCTTCTTTGTGATTTCTTCTTTGATCTTCACGCTCATGTCAGTCTTGAACTTTCTTAGCTTTTGCTTGACAGGAGGGAATGCTGGGTCAGTTGGCAATTTATGAACTACCAGATCAGTGCTTAAGCCCGGCATATCGTCATACAACCATGCAAAGACATCTTTGTACTCAAATAATGTTTTGATTATTTCTTCCTTAACTTGTGGTTCCAGATGCACACTTATCTTGGTTTCTCTAACATTATCCTGGTCCCCTAAATTGATTGCTTCAATTTTACTCAGATTAGGCTTTGGTTTTTCTTAAAATTATTTTAGCTCTTTACTGATTTCCTCAAACGTTGCTTCTTCATCATATTCTACTTCTTGGATTATTATTTCAGAATTAGATTGGCTTTTAAGACTTGGCTAAAAATTCCTCATGCATATCGTGTCATTGCAACCAACATAAAAAGAACTGTACAAAAGAAAACAAAAATGAAACACTATTAGAAATACTGGAAAACGGGAAATTGCATTTCATTGGAAATAAAAGGATAGAAGGGTTTGAACATCAAAACAAGCAAAAACTAAAAATCTGGATTACAACCCTTGAATAACCTAGATAACAGAAAGGAAAACAAAGCAGACTACCAAAACTCCTTCCTGGTGGGGAGAGGAGTAGCTTCCCAATTGCTAAGCTTTACATTCGGCCCGACGAATTGCATATCTGCTTTGCTAGACCCTTCTCCAACTTCCACCATGTTCACATCATCAAACAACTTCTGGAACCTTTCAATTAACTCTTCATCCACGTAAACCACAGGACTGGGAACTGTTGTTACTGGGCGTTTCTTGGCACCTGGCTTGACAAAAGACCTGGAAAGACGTGGGATAGGCTTTAGAAGTGCCCACGCCTTCCGTTTCAACCTCTTAGCCCTTTTTACATCTGCCGCTGTAGGTTTGAATCCAAGACCGAACATACCCAAATTTTCAGGGAGAGACACCGACTGTACGATACCCTGTAAGGATGCACCCAAACCTTTACCTGGCAAATCCATTTTTCAGCATTTCAACGGCCACCATGACGGATGCAGAGGCTATCTTTGGAGCTGGAAGAGATTTCCCTTCTGGAACCTTCTCGATCGGCACCGTTTCAGAAACTTGGTATACCCACGGCCCTTCATCGTCTTTGGCCTCAATAAACGGGACAGAGGCATCACTATGAGCACACAAATTATCCTCACCATGTACGACAATTTCTTGTCTATCCCAATCAAACTTGACCATCTGGTGTAATGAGGACGGGACTGCTTTGGCGGCATGTATCCACGGCCGACCCAGCAGCTAATTGTAGGAGACAGCCACGTCCAACACTTGGAACTCCATGGTGAATTCCACTGGTCCTATTGTCAACTCAAGCACTATATCACCAACTGAATCTTTCCCTCCGCCGTCAAATCCCGGACGCATATGCTATTCTTGTGAATCCTCTCATCATCAACTTTCAGCTTGTTCAGAGTAGAGAAGGGCAGATGTTTGCACTTGAACCATTGTCAACTAACACCCTGGTGACCACAGACTCTTCACATTTTACCGTAAGATAGAGGGCTTTGTTATGTTCAGTTCCTTCCATGGGTAACTCATCATCAGAAAAGGTGATCTTGTTCACCTCAAATATTTTGTTAGCGATCTTCTCCAGATGGTTCACTAAAATTTTATCAGGGACATGAGCTTCGTTCAAGATTTTCATCAGGGCCCGACGATGCTCATCTGAATGGATTAATAATGACAGCAAGGAAATCTGAGCAGGAGTCTTTCTCAACTGCTCCACGATGGAGTAATCTTGTATTTTCATTTTCCTCAGAAACTCCTCCGCTTCTTCTTCGGTGACTGCTTTCTTTACTAGAATTGAATTATCCTTGAATGCCTTAGCTTTTCTCAACTCTTCCGGGGCAAAGCATCTCCCTGAACGAGTTAGCCCTTGGGCCTCGTTGACTTCTTCTTTCACTTCTTTCCCCTTGTAAGTCACTGTCACCCGTTCATAGATCCAGGGGACAGCCTTGGTGTTGATTACCGGCAACTGGGTTACAGTCTTGATGATGACAGGGTCCGTGCGGGCACCCTCCACAATTAAGATAGGCTTGTTTGCCAATCTTGGCACAATCACTTTTGGCTTCGTATCACTTGTGGATCTCTTCTCAACTACCACAGAGGGTTCACCTTTTGTTATGCTCAACTTATTCACTGCTCCTTCAACCATTGTTTTTGCGACAATCTTCCCTTTGGCTGGCTGGACCTCGCTGGATCGAATCATCATAACAGATTGCGATGGCTTCTTGGTCTCTCCACCTTTGTGTACTATCTCGATCATGTTCGTTCCCTCATGGGCTGGTAATAGGTTCTGGTTAATATTGGGTGCCTCTAGGTTTTGGACTTCAATCCGGTTTGTGTCAATGAGTTCCTGGATGGCATTTCTCAGGTGCCAGCACTTCTCCGTATCATGCCCCGGAGTTCCAGAACAATACTCACAGCTCACAGAGTAATCAAGATTCTTGGGAGGCGGGCTCGGCAATTTCGACTCAATGGGCCTCAGCATATCCAACTGCCTCAATCTATGGAACAAACTAGTATAAGACTCCCCCAACGGGGTGAAAGTTTTCTTCCGCTGCGACTTCTCATTTTTGAATGCTGGATTGGGTCGGAAACCTGGACCGGTAGGGTTTTGGTAGGCTCGGGGAGGTGGATAAGCATTTTGTGGAGCTGGGTAGGTGTTTTGTGGGACTGGGGGACACCATTGTGAGTAGGGAGGAGGTTGGGTATATGACTGGGCATGGTGGACAGAGATCTGAGGGTCTGGTGATGGGTAGTAATGCTGGGGTGGATTATAGGGGCTTTGGGTGTAGGCGTTGTGATGGGGTCGAGGCTGGATATAATGGTGTGACGGGCCCCTCGGTCCAAACCATGATCCTGAATCAACAGTTGCCCCATCTTCTTTCTTTTTCTTTCCAATCACTCCTCCGGTACCGTTTTGGATGGCTTGGGTGGTTGCTTTGATGGCTGAGTAGCTCATGATTTTGCTTGACTTAAGACCTTCTTCCACCATGCCACTCATCTTCACTACCTCGTTGAATGACTTGCCTATGGCCGATATCAGATGGCCAAAGTAAGTGGGCTCCAAAGCTTGCAAAAAATACTCCACCATTTCGTTCTCCTCCATCGGAGGGTTGACTCTTGCCGCTTGTTCTCTCCAGCGAAAACCATATTCTCTGAAACTTTCTCCTGGCTTCTTTTCTATCTTAGTTAGAGACAATCGATCTGGAACAATCTCGATGTTGTACTGGAAATGACGGGCGAAAGCTTGGGCCAAATCATCCCAAGTTATGATCTTGACGTGTATACCACTCTAACGCCGTGCCACTCAAACTCTAGCTGAAGTATGCCATTAGCAACTCATCTTTTCCACCCGCTCCTCTCATCTTACTGCAGAATCCCCTCAAGTAGGCCATCGGGTCCCCGTGACCGTCATATAAGTCGAATTTAGGCATCTTGAATCCCACGGGCAACTGAACATCGGGGAATAGACACAAATCTTTGTAGGCCACGCTCACCTGGCCTCCCAATCCCTGCATGCTTCTGAACGATTGTTCTAGGCTTTATACTTTCCTGAACATCTCCTCATGCTCTGGGTTTTTAGGTGGTTTTTCAGTCTCAGTTGGGAAGTCAAAACGGGGAGTGTGGGGGTAATGATCTGGGGCCTTGAAAGTGGGCTCCGGGGGATAGTAGTGGGTATTTGGAGCGGGGAATGCGGGCTCACTAGAGGATCGGTGGAGGGTAGCTTGTGGAGGGGGTACAAAAATGGGAGCAGATGTTGGAGCAAGTTATGAGGCTGTTTTGGCTGGTGGAGCATGAAAAATTTGGGCTGAAGTGCCAGGGTAGTTATGGTAAGGGGTAAAGCCCGGTGTGTATTGTGGGGAAAGATCAACAGTATTTGGCATCTGAGATTGGGACAATGGTGGAATGAAGGTGGAGGGTGTCCCTTAATCCAGGCATGATACATTTCCGTCATCTGATGCCTCAGCCTTCGGACTTCCTCTTTCAGTTCTGACTCCGATTCAACAACTTCCCTTGGTGGGTCTACAACTCATGTGTTTGTTTCTTTACTAGTCATGACTATCTGGCGCTTTGACCGGGTGTTGTATGGATGACTTGCCAGGATGCCAACAAACTAACCACCTTCCTGTTATTGGAATAAAGATAACAGAGGAAAACAACACAAACCACCGTGTTAGCGTTAGGGCATTTATCAGATAATAATATCATATTACATGCAATGCACCTAGCAACAATTAGCGATTCTACAATGGCTTTGAAGGTCACAGGGTCATATGGCATCATCCCAATTTTGTTCATTTCAATCTTCTCTTTTCTTTCTTTTTATCGCTCTTTTCTTTCCTCCCATTTCTCATGTCCCACAACTTCATTCTCTTTTTTTCCCTCTTCTTTTTTTTAGTTTTTTTTTCTTTTTTTTTAATTATGATGATTCGATCTAACCCTATGTAGGTTGCCTACATATCATGTCCCTCATGAATCAGATCAAGCGTAGTTCTGGAAAAATGATGAAAAATAAACTAAAAATAAAATCTTTTTGGGATTTTTCATTTGAAAATTTTTCGGTATTAAAATACATAGGAAGTACGATAATGAAAGACCTCACAGACTCAACTACACTACGACAGACTCTGACACTACCTAAGGGACTCAATACTCCTAGACAAGAGACGAAAGTAAAGGACAACATAAGACAATCTCAAAACACCTAAATAGAATGACTCCTCAAGCTTCTCCTGAATGCGACGGTCCTGGCTGGGATGGGTCTGATGAAGATCCGAATGGCCCCGTCAATCCTGTCGAATCTAAGCTCTGTATTATACCCTGCAAAGACACCTCGAAACTGGGAATGAGAACCCTGGAATGCGCGCCTGCATCTGGAAGGCTGACTCTAGTAAGGTACTCACGGTGTTGTCCCATGTTCTCTACCAACTCTGCCAACTGTGATCTCAATGACTGAAGTGTAGCTCGAACCCCAACCCTTTCTGCTGCATGGGCCTCCTCTGCCTGGGTAAATCGATCCATCAACTGTCTAAGCAATATCCGTAAGGTGGCCTCCTCGTCAAATACTCCTCTAACACGTCGGGGCAATGGCCTGCTAACCCCCCGGTGAGTAGACTGTAGCCATATGAAGTACTCATGGGTATACCCAGGTGAATGCGGGTCAGCTGCTAAAGTATCTCTACCCATCTTCATTGCATGATGCCAATAGGTCTAGATGTCGACCTCCCTGTGAGGCATAGTGTCAAACTCCCTAATGAAGTCACGAGAACCAGGAATGTAGGGGACTTCTTGCCGCCTCCCTAACTGACGCATCACTCTAACAGGGGTATATGGTCTAGTACACCAAAGTCCAATCAGTACCGGGAAGTCTTGCACGCGAGATCCTGCTAAGATCACGTCCAAATCAATCCAAAGGTATGACCACAAAATCTTCTCTTCAGTCAAGGATCCTAAGTAATCAATCCAAGCCTGAACTCCGAGTAGTAAGGCAAACTTATCGAACGTCATTCTATGCTCGATGCACTTCACTCGATCTCTCAGACAACGGTCGATCACATCTTTCTCAAACATGGTGGTGGGATGTAAGTGTTCCATCATCCACAGCTGTAGCAACAAGTTACTTCCCTCAAAGAACCTCTCACCTTCTCTAATCCTGGTCAAAGCACGATAGATCTCTGCCAAAATTGTCGGAACCAAGGTGACCTTACTACTGTGTTTATCATGGAAAAGTGCAAAGGCTATTGACCCCAGACGTGTGCTAATATGTCTACCCTCCAAAGGAAATACCAGGAGACCCAACAATGCAATAGCGAAGACCATAGGACACCTCTTCTTCCAAGAATCATATGATATGGAAAATTTATCTACGAAGGTCTCATACCCAGTAAGACGAGCAAACCTCTCGAATAAAAAGTCCAAGGGTACCCAAGATTGATCCAGACATCCCATGTGATTTTATAAATCCATCCCTATGATCTTAAGGAACTTGGTGCTTGAATGAGCCCTTGTGTAAATTAAATCCTTGTCTAGGTATGGCAAGCGAGTCAACCCGGCTATCTCAGCTAAAGTGGGTGTCATCTCAAGATCCCCAAACTTAAATACCATTCCCTGTGGGTCCCAAAATGTCAGCATCGCCTCTCGGGATGGGGGGGTAATGTCCATTAAAGAAATAAGAGTCCCTAATTTACCCATCAAATTATGCTGCTCAAGTGTGAACATGTTCCACCATTTTACTAGCCTTCTAGGGACTTTGACCACCATTGACACTCTAGCCTTGGTAAGTGGATCCATACCTGTTGAAAGGAATAAGGCTAAATAAAGTTAGTGACTCAAGACACTACGTGGTGTTGATATCTCCTATTGGACACACGCACGACATGACTCGGCTATTGTTACAAAAATAGCCTATGTGGCTAAATGAGTCTAAAAATGCAATACTCAATTAGGATGACCTCTATGACGTGGAAACATCTCAAAAGAGCCTAGGTAGCCCCCCAACCTTTTAGGAATCAAGTATCCAAAATTACTTGGCAATAATGACATCACTTTGCAGAAACGGCCGATATGGCCAGGAGTGGCTAGACACGCAAATGCAGTGGGGATGGACCTTGAAGTAACATGACACCTAGTTGTGGACTCAAGATACTAGTACATGGGTCAATGAGGTACCCTTGCAAAAATGGCCCCATTTTGCAGGAATGGCCAATGTAGCCAAAGGTGGCTAGACATGCAAGATTTGGCTAAGACCCCGCAGAGCCAGGAACCTAAGACTTGTTAGGAAGACCGGACCCTATGTGGGTTGCCTACGTATCCCGTCCCAGAAGACGAGAATCAGGTTCGCATAGTTCGGGAAGATCGGAAGAAAGCTTTAAAATGAAATGCAACTAGTTTGGAAAAACTATCTTTTGAAAAATGATTGAAAATGTAAAATCTTCTTGGATTTTCTTTTTCTCTTTTTTTTTTGATTTTTGGAAAACTATGAAAGAAATATGTGAGTGGGCCCTACTAGCTTCATTTTATATTTCACCCTCAAATATTCTAGGTCCGCCAAATGACCCTTTTGCCTCTAAAGAGATGCAGCATGTAGCACATAGGGATGATTAAATGTCTTTTTGGGCCATAAGCCCATTTTGACATAACTTGGATAGGCCTCCTACAATGGGACACGGTGCCTGAGACCGAGCCTTGCTAAGTTTAAATGATATGATGCACATAAGCATGACCTAAATGCTGACCTATGGTTGGGGTTCACTAGACAAGGCAATTCGGGGCGGCACGTGGTCAATGGCGGCTGCTCTAGCTGTCCGCCCACTCCACGCTCCCACGCCACCCCCCTAAGACACGGGTGACTCACAAAAAGGCCGTGTACGCTCAAACGTACTCCGGAAGACTTGTTGCAGAAAAAAAATCCAGGATTATGCAAATGATGACAATTTATAAAGCAGTAACACATAAAGGAAGTATTGTAAACAAATAAGCAACTAGCAAATAAAACGACATAAACAAAATAAAAATCAAATAAAGCAAACAAAACACATAAAAACCTCAACCGAATATCCTAAAAAGCCAACAAGATCAAGTATTAGCTCGAACCTGCATCATCCCCAGCTGAGTCGCCAGAGCTGTCACACCCCCTTTTTTTTACAACCTCACTAAACCCTCTTAAATAATAAAAAGATTTTGTGAAGATCAGAAGGGTTTTTCAATTTTGAAAGTGACAAAGAATTGTGTTCAAAAGGAAATAACTCAGAGTCGCCACCTGACATTGGTTTCGGTGTGCCAGGTCACCGTTTTTAAAAATGATTTTCCTTTTAAAACACTTTGGACTCCAAAACTAAGTCTGCACCAAAGATTCGGGTAAGAGGGTTCATTTGACTCGAGGAGAAGGTGTTAGGCATTTCCCGAGTCCCGTAACTAGTACGGTTGCGTACATGATTAAGTTGGCTTTTAAGGATATACTAATTGAAGTAAAAGCACACAAAAGAAAATAAACAGTCAAAAAGAGCCACGAGGTCGTCCCCACCTAATAAAATAAAAATAAGAGTACTACGAGTTTTGCTCTCAGCCTCTAAATACAAATACCTCGGGGCATACCCGGATAATATATATATACAAATCCTTCGGGGCATTCCCGAATAAATTTAACTAAGGGAACGACCTCTCGCCTCGAGACCAACAAAAATCCTAAGACTTGCCTACCCAAATGTGGTCGGCCTAAGCATGCTACTAGCGGAAAAGCGAAACAAATAAAACTAAAGAAATAAAAACTAATTTCATGCTCATTCTCATTTTAAACTTTTCATTTTATTAGACCGAGCCCGATACCTAAAGCATGGAACAAATTATTTGCTAATGGGCTTCGGCCTTTCTACCACTCCTCCACGACCCCACAGTCATTCAAAATGAATTTAGGCCAAGCAAAACAGGGTGTACAATCCAAATAAACCAACATCTGATAACTCATGGAGCCAAACAAACCAACTAATAAACCAAGACATGATAAAGTAAGACAGCAATTAATAAACCAACTAATAAACCAAGACCCACCTCTGCTCCGCCTCGTACCCTCAGACCCTCAATTAATTCACATTTAATAACCAGGTTCCCTAGTTAAATCTATTCGAGCTAACTCAAAATAAGGACAGCAAACATGATAATATGAAGGTAGATTTCAGCATATTAACGAAAGATAGCATGAACTCCGGGCGAAAATAGAAGAACAAACACATGAACAGTTCGAGTGCTTGGAATTATGTAATCACATAATGACTAAGGATGTCTACAGTTAACTCAAACATGGAAATCATGAGGACTAAGTGACCAGCAAACCTTCTGTAAACTGAAACTCATGTGAAAATTGATCTAGCACCCCCATGATTCTAGAATGGTGACGATAATTCAAAGAGAGTGACTGATCTAATCATACCCAACGATAATGAGCCAACATATACAAAATTTAATCAATTTGTTCTTACTTCAAGCATGGCAGGAAGGGACCATTCTTATCAGAGAGCGATCTAACTTATTCCCAATCTTCAGACATGAAAGAACATGACCGACATATCTTAATACCCAACCACCCACACGTCATCAAATTAAGAGATGGACGAAATTCTTATACAAACACCATAAATTCCAGTCACGCTTCGTGAGAAAGCATGCTAAGCTCATTGAAAGCAAATGAAGTTGCCAGTAGTTATCTCAAACATCCAAACAAAAATTGTTACTTAGCCAAGGCCACTAACGGATCTCCTAGTGATTAGAGTTAACATCAGCATAAATTAGAACCAAAAGAGACAACTGAATGCTTCAACGTGTACCATTAAGAGGTTTTTAACTATCCCTGGATCTGTATTGAATTCAAGCCTCTAATACATAATCCAACTAATTATTTGATCAAACGCGCGACATTTATATGCAGTCGCAAACACGTGATGAGAATTTCAGAAAAAAAAAAGAGGCACTTGGAACACCTAAAATGAACTCTAGGTCATCACCCTAAACTTCAATAGCTAGACAGGTTTCAATATGTCAATATAATGAGAACAAAATGTCGAACATCAGAATGCAAACCAACTCGCAAAGAATATCAAGCCTCTCTTTCAAGCATAAGCAAAGACCAAAAGTCAAATTTCAGACCATTCATTCATATCAAATTATAAAATCGGAGAACTCATGACAGATTGGTGAATCAGGCATCACGAACTACTGGGATTGACTCAATCCAAATTAGCAAGGATTTGTAACAGTTTTGTAAAAATAAAAAAAAATAAAAAAAAATCAAACTAACCAAGCCATTAGTAGAATGAGAACATCAGATTAAAGAACAATTCCAAAAGCTCATTTCACGTTTAAACTCGACCAAACAAGCAGAAATATTCATGAAAATTACAAGAAACCATATGACGATCACACACTCTCATTAACAGTCGCAAAACCAATCCGAGTTTCATTTGTTATTCTCAAAGTAACAGTGGATCAAACAGTCTATAAGCCAATCAAACCAGGTTCTCATCCTATTTCAATCAAATACCAAAGATAGACTAAGAAAAGAGAAGGGGATTGAACCTGTTTGAGCGAAGCTTTTCCACTATACAAAAATGCAATAGATACAGAGATTTCGACTCCGAAGTTCACAACGCGACTTAGCAACAGGAAACGGGCAGGAACCGCAGATCAATAGCAACAACTCGAACGGCGCCGATGAACTCGAACCAACCTCAATCAGAGTCCATATCGAAACCAAAATCACAAGAAGAAACTAAAGTATTTTTGGGATATTTTCTGATTTTTCGAAATGGAAACAAAAATTCCAACAAAAATCTAAACTCAAACTATTTTTGTATTTTTATTTTTCTGGAAAGCAAACCAAAAAAAACTCAAAAACTGAAAAGAACCCTAGAACCTTTTCTCCAATTTTTTCTGATTTTTTTTCTCCTAATCTCTGTCTGAAAAAACCCCTTGGTTTGAAAACGAGCCCAAATATATAGAAGCTCCAGAAACTTCCATGCTTGCTCCCCAAGCCAACCAATCCGAAAAATTCCTGATTTTTGCTCTTTTTTGACTAATTTCGGATAAAATGGAAGGATAGGATTTTAGTAATTCAAATCCTACGGCTCCCATTCTCTCCAAAATTCGTCCAAGAGATGAAAGAAAATCGCATGAGGGTACGAGAATATTCTCTGTTGTCAGAGTTTGTTGAGATTTTGATGACGTGGATGTGAAAGATGAGGGGAGGGGGGATCATACACACGTGGAACTGGCCGGATTCTAGAATTTCCGGTGCAGGAGAAAAGGAGCGTCGTTTGGAGTTGAGTCTCTAGGGTTAGGGTTTGGGGAATATTAGAATTTTATATTATGGTGGGGAAGAATAGGGGCTGTTGGATCAAAGTGAATGGATGGCCAAGATTAGAGGGTAAAGTGGGGCGGGTCCGGTCCGGTTTATGGGTCTGATGGGGTTGGGCTACCGATTTGGGCTTCCAAATGTGTAAAAATGGGGCTTAAAATTTGTACTTCTACAATTCTTAAAGTCCATTAAATAACAAACCCCATCTTTTAAACTATTAAGAAATAAAATTAATTCCAATTAATTAAATAAATTATATCATAATATGAAACTATATTTTTTAACATGTCATGTTTTATATAAATTAAAAATAAGACTGAAGATCATAGTAAAAACAAAAATATATGGCTATAAAAATATTAATAACCTAAACTAAATAGAAATAAGATAAAACATGAAACTATATATATATATATATATATATATATATATATATATATATATATATATATATATATATATTCGGTTTTTGTGCCTTAAAAATAAAGTAAAATCCTATAGAAATAACTCAAATAAATATCCTAAAAATACTAGGACTTTTAAAGGTAATTCTAATGTGTGGGTCAAAAATTACATGTCTACAACTACTAATTATTACCTAAACATAAAACAGACTCATTCCCTTAAGAAGGTTGTCACGCCATCCATCGTTGGGACAAGTCACCCGGTTCGCACAACAACTACTTTTGGAAAGAACCGTGACATTAAGAAAACCAAAGTCTTATTGCCTACTAAAACATTAAAAGAAGCTTCTAAATCAAATATGAACTAATAAGGAAACAAACATAAAGAAGCTAAAAAGCAAAAAGTATTGAAAGTGTAATGAATATACATAATGAGAGAGAGAAGATATATACATAATGAAAGAAAGAGAGAGAGAATATATATACATGAATAAGTAAAGAAAGAGAATAAAATTAAGTTATTATAGGCCAAATGTCTCAGAATGTACCAAATATAACAAATAAACCCCACCCCTTCCCAAATAAAGATAAGCATTGTTCCCAATGCTTAACAAAATAAGATTAAAAGAGGGGAAAGAGTGAAGAAAACTCCCTATGGCTCCTTGGACATCTCTGTGTCCCCAGCAATGTCACCGCCCTCAGGCTCATCCAACTAAATCTCATCATCCTCAACTTTGGGAGTGGCTGGATTGGTGAACATCTAACACACTCCCTGTTGAGAGTCAAGTAACATGTCGAATGGAAGATCTCCAGCTGTAGCAATTATCTTTACTTCTCTTCGGAGCTTGTCCACTGACTTCTTGCTAGCCTGGTATTTCCTCATCTTCTTTACTTCCTTTCCTAGCTCTTCGATTACTGACCCATGTTGTACCATGGTAGCCATAATAGTGTTCTGGTTTTCTAGGAGCTTCTTTAGTGTCTCTTCAACGGTCGAGGGCATCTGAGGTGCTTGAATAGAAGACTGCGCTGCAACAGTACTGGATAAGTCAGACAGCCTTGCATGGTTGTCTGCATCCAGTTGTTGAGGCTCGCCAATATCTGGGAGACTCGCAGCGCAGAAAGTGGGCCAGTAGGCATGGGCACCGGCTTCAAAGCCGAAGTGGAAGCTGTGGCGGGGACTGCAGTAGGGACTGTAGATGAAGGTGGAGGCATGGCTGTGGCACTGAATGAAGGCTCGGCTGATATGGATGAACATCATTTGTCTCAACCACTACCACGGCTGGCTCATTAGACTGGCCTGTGGTGGTAGACAGCTGAACTTTCCTTTTCGGGTTGTTCGCATCCATAAGTGAGTACCAAGAGAAAGGCTTCTTCGGTTTCACCTTTGTATCGAAATACCTTGGTTCTACCCTCGCATCCATAAGATACTTTATAATGGTGTTGGGATACGGGTAGGAAGAATCATCCTGCCGGGAGATCACTGAGATGTTGGCCGACATCACGACACCCACATTGATAGGGTACCCAACCATTATAGAAGCAACCAAGATTGCCCGAGGAATCGCCGGGAGAGTCTCATTTTGACTTGGGTCCAGCCTGCTGCAGATAAATGATTTCCACCCTTTTGCCTCGAAGCTCAATGTGCTTCGTTGGATAGGAGCTCCAGCGGTGATCCATGGTGGTGGTGATCCTGGTGCAGCTAGAATCTCCGCTAACCTAGGGCGAACTGCATCTCCAAGTTCACACTTCTCCAAGTATTCTTTTGTCTCGATATCATCAAAGCCCAAGTATGTGTTCAGTGTGTGCTAATTAAATCGCACTTTGAGGTTACGCACTTTTGTCACCTTTGTCTCCTTTTTGATATGTGCCACATTGGCATATAATTACCGGACAAGGTACTCATTGGCATCCACCACGCTCTGAGTAAACCACATCCACACTTTGTGTTCTCTGAATTGCCTCAGCACGGCCGAGTTGTACATCTCTAAATCTGTCAGTAAGAAATGTCGCTCAAGTGTTAGCGACCTCGCTGGCCACTATGTGTAGAAGCTAGTGAAAGCTGCCAAGATGACAAATCAGTCATCCTAGACCTCTTTCTTCTTTGTTCTTTCAAGCCGACAACTGCAGCATCTCCCCATCTGCCATCATCGGGGATATCCTGAACCGGTGTATCTTGTGCCTCAAGAACAAGTGTAGTCGATGGCTCAGAAGCCTGACTAGCACTTTTTAATCCCTCGGTAGTGCTATAAGATGAGGACGACTCGTCCCTGAGTTTGTATCTCCCTTGTGGCCTTGACTGTACGGCCGGTTGCTCTTTAATAGAGGCTGAGTTGCCCTCTGAGGCTTCCCTAGACGGGACATATGAGCTTGTCTCGGAGAGATCTGCACCTCTCCCTCTGCCGGTGTAGCTTTCTTTGTAATTGTCTTTTATTGGCCAAGGGGTAAGGCACTCTTGCCTCAACCCCAAGAAGGTTCACCCCTCCCTTTAGAAGTGTCGCCTCTACCTCTAGATCGAACCATTATCTGTATCGAGCAAAGGCAATTGTAAGTTGCAATTCAATGTTCAGACATACAAAAAGATATGCAAGTATACACCAGAAAACACAGTGAGGTTCACAGTTCAAGCATGCTTGCAAGATAAGGATCAGCGGCCCGGACAATTTTCTTGCGGCCGCAGATGAGGCTTTGCGGACCGCACGATTTTGTTTTGCAGCCGAAAAAGTGAAGTGTGGTCCGCATAATTTCACTTGCGGCCGCATCTCAGAAACCCAAAATATGCCAACTCTCTGATGACAGAGAATTGGCTGATGTGCGGCCACAACATGATTTTTGCGGTCCGTACAATTCTGGGTTGCGACCGCGAGACAATCTTCTGCGGCTGCACAATTCTTATGCAGTCCTAGCTTCACGAGGGCTTCAGGACTTGGTCTTTTAGCATACTCTCTTAACTTTGCATCTTTGTTAGTAAAAACCCAATTCTGCAGTCGCACAATGCATGTGTGGACCGCACATTTCTAAAAATTTTGTTGGAATTTCACTCTTGACTTGCGGTTGCAGATGAAATTCTGTGGTCTGGAATTTCTTCTGCAACCGTAGAGTTCCGTCTGCGGACCGCACATTTGTGCTTCTGCGCCCTTTATTGCCTCGTACATTGGATCACTCCTTTTCTATTCGGATTTTATCTCGGGAGGCCAAGCCTTCAGTACTCCTGCAATTTGCACATTTTCATTAGTTTTGGGAACATAATTTGACATTTTGGACTAATACAAGAGCTAAAAGGTGCTAATAAGCAGTCAAAATATCCACTTATCACCGCCCATTCATCCGGTACGGCTGGTAGTAACATTCTTTTCTTCTGGAATCTGGTCACAAACTCCCGCAGCAACTCGAACTCTCCTTGTATTTCAGCCTTTCGAGCCCGAACCTTTCTGGCACTGGCATGGGCCTTGATGAAAGAGTCTGCGAGCATCTCAAAGGAGTCTATTGAATGCTTCGGCAAAAGTGAATGCCATGTCAAGGCTCCATTCGTAAGGGTCTCCCCGAATTTCTTCAGTAAGACTGACTCAATCTCGCGGGGAGCTAAATCGTTCCTTTTTACTTCCGTAGTATAAGTGGTGATGTGCTTCTAAGGATCTGAAATCCCATCATACTTTGGCACGTCTGGCATCTTAAACCACTTCGGGATCAGTTCTGGTGCCGCTCGGTTTGAACGGCGGCTTGATATACTTCTTTGAATCCGATCCTTTCAGTAATGGCGGTGCGCCCGAAAATTGATCCATTCGAGCGTTTATTTCCCTCATAAACTGCATGAGTTAAACATTAAAGGGATCGTTTTCATTGTTGCTACCGGAACCGCCACCATCCCCCTGACCCTGTCAAAGCCGACTTCGCCCTTTGGGGTATTTTTATCAACCCTCTGCATTGTTTGATTCACGGGAGCACTGGGAGGAACTGTACCTTGTTCATTCGCATTGTTGGAAGCATCCGACAATGCCTGCTTTAATTCCGTGATGACTTGATCGTGTGAGATGGCCTATTATAGCCTTTTGTTGCTACTTCAAGATCTTTACTATTTTCGACGATGTGTTCGTCTTCAGCATCATCGGGAGTCTCCTCCTGACCATGTCACGGATATCGGCCGCCGTAGACCAGTGTGGCCTCGTCTCCCTCGTTGCGGGTATCGTAGATGGAATCTTCATGCTGAGGCTGATTTCCTTGGGCCTCAACTTTGTGTGTCTTGTTAACACCATTATCTGCCATTTTTAATGATATTGCTAAGAGCAAAGAATCAAACAAGTTAGTAATAGATGCAGGGATCAATTCAATTACACAACTGTCTATGCCCCACGGTGGGCGCCAAACTGTTTACCCGTAAAACAATACAGTTGAATTTGTACGTGGTTTATAGACATGTGAATTAATTTGATCCAAAAATAATAGATGAATTAAACAAAAATGTAAAACTTAGCCTTGAAATTAAAATGAATCGGCAAATATCTTACTCCCGGGCGCAAAGCTTCCAGAGGTAGTAAGAACAATACAAATAAGCAAGAAAGTAAAA